AAAAAAAAAAAAAAAAAAAAAAAAAAAAAAAAAAAAAAAAAATTCACCTACAAAGCTTTCAGCTGCATTATTAAACAAAAACTTGATTATATTCACCAATAAACTGATGTACCGATTTAAAAAGTTACAACCAACTTTAACAACAATTACCAAAATCTGTCCACGTACCGCTATGATACTAACAAATAAACTATCGAGGAAGGAAAAAAATGATATGACACTTGATGCCGTGCAGATCGAAAGAGAGAGAGAGAGAGAGAGGGGGAGAGTATCGTCCAACGCGCCCCCAATATTGCCGATTAAATCGCTAACAGTCAATCAACGAGCCCTAAAGAGGAGATGAAACAAAAAAATAGTTAAAATAAACAGACGTCTTGATCTTACTCGAGGAAATCATACGCGAATAATGTGTGTATGCATGTGCGATAGGTTGTAGTAACGTCGATCGCGTATTGTAATGACCGTATCGCACATGCACAGCTTGCGTAAGCGCGCCCGCGTTCGCATTAGCGACTAATTATTGCCTACAGCGAGCTCCAAAATAATTGTGAAAAATACACGAGTTTTTAGAGAAAGAGAGAGAGGGATACGCTCATTTAACATCAGCGGCAGCACGAACGCGTGTTAAACACGTGTTATATGTATTTATGCGTTTGTGGTTGTCGAGGGAGAGACAATAGATTGATTTTGTTTACTCTTCTTTCGCTCTCTCGTCGAGCAGTGATGTCACCACAACACGAGACGTATTATAATTATGCTCCCTTGGGGTGCAGTATAAAAAAAAAAAAAATACGATGAGAAACCGAGCATGAGTTCGAAAACGAGTTCGAAAATGCATGATCAAGACATATTGAGATAGATTAGTGTAGTAGAGATTACCACGGCGGCCTTGTCTTTCCAATTTTCCGACTTTGACCAGACGAACTGGCTGAGCGTCTGGTTTGGCGCCTCGATTTCCCCATACCGACTTTCCAGTACACCAGTGTTGCCGCTGCTGCTGTAACTCGCGTGATTGGCAAAACTGATCGACCGTAGTGTTAAACCACTCGTCGCTCGTCTGCCCACGATTTTGCAGCACAGCATCGACATGTCTACACGGGAAACGAAACAAGGCTTTCAAGTGCGACCGTTAATGAAAGTTACACTTTTTACGCTTCTAGGAAATTTATTTATAAATCGGTCGACCGATCTGTACGAGGGGAAAAAAAACAACAGATTTTTAAAACAAACTAAAAGATTTCCGCACAGCGGTCGTTCGAAAGGGGTGGTTGATCGCTGACCCTCGAGCGTCAGTTGACGGAGACACAACAGGTACGATATTACAAGAGAGGCAGCGCAGAGACGCGGAACGAAACGTCAGTCGCTGCAAGTGTATATACACAGGAGCTAATGTTGTATGCATATAATATACGCCCGTCTAAGCTCGGAAGCCGACTGAGGAGACGGAACTGCGTAAATTTAAATAGTGACCTGCGTGATTCTCACTGGCTGGCTGGCTAGCGCGATATACAGCCGCGAGTGAAAGTGTGAGTACACACGAATATACTACAAGCGGATGACGCTACACGTGCCTTTTTTTCACTCTCTCTCTCTCTCTCGCCACCCACCATCCCTCTCTTTAGATTTTTCGTTTTATCAATACAAATTCCAACCATATCAGAGATAAGCGAGTAACTTGATAGAATTGGCTTTGAAGTTCAAGGCTGGGATTATAGGTTTACTCTCTCCTCCCTTCGTCAATGCAGGGAACACGTGCGCGCAGTGAAATCCGGGGTTTTGCGACTCGAGCGGAGGAAAATATTTATAAAAATTATTGGGTCCGTCAAGTAGATTATATAAAAATATATTGAAACGCGCGAATTTTTTTTTTTCTTGGGCCTTCAAAAATATTCACCGCTAGTGCTGCCTTTCCTCCGTTACACGTGTTCTTTTTGTTTCGTGAAGGAGCCTCGTACAAAAATCTCTCTCTCTCTCTCTCTCTCTTTCTTTCGACCGCATCGCATCGCACAATGACACAATAATTGCTTATCTCGACGTTTCGTTTCTTCGTCTAGTAGTCGTAGACACTCCGTTTCACGCAGCAGGGCAAGCTTCACCCGAAAGTCTGGTACTTGACGAGCTTCCGAAAGAGGCCATCCGGCAGAGCCATCAGCTCCTCGTAGGTGCCGCTCTCCACCACCCTTCCCCCGTCCAGGGCGGCTATCTTGTCCGCGTTGCGTATCGTGCTCAGCCGGTGGGCTATCGTAAGGACGGTGCGGCCCTTTGTAGCCCGCTCTAGAGCCTCTTGCACTAGCTTCTCGGACTCAGAGTCCAGGGCGCTCGTCGCCTCGTCCAGTATCAGGATCTTCGGATTCTGCGAAACAAGTCGTACAATTTTCAGACAAGGGAATCGAAAATAACGTCAAGTATAATTTACCTTGATGAGAGCGCGCGCGATAGCGACCCGCTGGCGCTGGCCTCCACTGAGAGTGATTCCCCGCTCGCCCACGTGGGTGTCCAGGCCGTTGGGCATCTTCTCGACAAACTCCAGGACGTTGGCTTGCCTGGCTGCTCGCAGCACGTCCTCCTCAGTCGCGTCGGTGCTGCCGTACGTTATGTTTTCCCTGATGGTGCCGTTGAAGAGGACCGGCTCCTGAGCGACGAAGCCAAACTGCCGCTTTGCCCAGCGTGGCTCCAGCTCTCGTAGGTCGTGGCCGTCCAGCAGCACCGAGCCACCGACCGGGTCGTACAGCCTTAGGAGCAAGCAGGCCACCGTTGACTTCCCGGAGCCGGAGGGCCCGACGACCGCGGTCATCGAGTTTCTCGGGATTTGGAGGTTGAAGTCCCTCAGGATCATCGAGTCGCTCCTCGCTGGGTACGCAAAGTCGACGCCCTTGAAGACAATGTCTCCCGAGAGTTCTGCCTTTGGGATCCGGCCGCCCTCGATCGGTATGCTCGGCTGGCGGTCTATCAACTCGAACAGCCGCGTACTGGCGCCGAGGGCTTTGTTCAGCTCGGAGTAGAAGCTCGACAGCCCACCCATGGATATACCCACGTAGGCGGCGTAGAGGAGAAACGCGCTGAGGTTGCCGACGGTTATCGTCGAGTCGGAGAGCATCGAGCCGCCGTAGTAGAGCACCGAGAGTATTATCGCGTTGCCCGAGAGCCCCGTCAGTCCGTAGAACGAGCCACGGTAGAAGCTCTCCTTGTAGCACAGTTTTAGCAGGTCCTTCAGCTTATTGCCGTAGGTCTCGATTTCGTTGAGCTCCTGGGCAAAGGCCTTTACCGTCCTTATGTTGCTGATCTTCTCCTCCGCGGTCGTGTTTAGTACGGCGAGGCTGTTTTGCACGTCTTTCGAGATTTTCTTGACAAACCTGCCGTAGAGAATGGCCATTCCTGCCACTGGAGGCACGACCGAGAGGCCCACCAATGCCAATTGCGGAGACACGTAGAACATCATCGAAATCCCGGCTGTCGTCATAATGCCAGATCTCAGACCGTCGGATATGTTGCTCGTGACCGCCGAACTCACGAGCTGCGCGTCACCTGTTTCATAAAATTTAATTATTTTCTAATTACGTGTACGGTTCAACTGTTGCTTTTATGGTGTCTTACCTGACAGTCTCCCGACCAATTCTCCAGTGCTGACGGTATCGAACATGGCGGTCTCCTGACTCAAAATAGCGGCGTACGCCTTTTTCCTCAGGGCCTGAGTGATCTTGTGTCCCGTCGTTGACATGAGATACACTCGGGCAAAGTTGCACAATCCACCAAACACAAAAACTCCGAGCAGCACGAGACAAACATTACTCAAATTGTCCCTTGTCTTGTCCTGGTCTTTGGTGTAAATAATGTCTATGATTTTACCAAGGCAGAATGGTACAGCCATAGTAACTGTAGAGGATATGATTAAAAATGTAATGGCACCTAGAAGTCTCCACTTTTCCGGCGCTGCCAGTAAAAGCAATCTGCGGAGCTCTTTGTTTTTAACTTTTTTAAAACCACCAGCCTGTTTGCTGGCCTCTATCACTCTGGTCTTGAAGGCATCTGAGGTGAATTTCTTCAAGTGCTTGAGGTTCAGCAATTTTCTCCTCGAAAGCTGAGACGATTGTAAAACGTATGTCCGCGCGTAACACTTGGAAAGTGAGTTGTTATACAAGTTACTCGGTCTCATGTGCAGAAAAGTGCCTGCCCTTATAAACCTGCACAGCATCATCGTTACTTATTTACAATATTGACAGTTATACTCCTGAAAAAAGGGCAATAAAAAAATTAAAAGGTATACAAACAACGTAAAATGAAACGTAAGCGTACACGCTAAACTTACCTTGTCGATGGAAAATGCTGCTTGTCACGCCACAATCATCAAAACCATTACAATATCGACTAGTTCAGCCATCCTAATCAAAAGTTATTTCTCATGACATCTCTCTCATCAGCTGTTACATCAAAAACAACTATCGATGAGGAACCATTGCATCTCACCTTATTAGATACGTCGGGTGATTAAGCAGTTTCTTATTATGATTGAAATCTTTCGTAATTTTCGCATAATTTTCTACTACATAATTAAGTATATATACTTATACGAGTGAGCAGCGCAACATGCAATCGCATATGTTTTTGCTCGTATTCTATATCGTCTGCTCCGGTTGGTTGCGTGTGGGGGTGAAGACCCAACTTTCCTGACGGAGTGCGTCTGCTATACTGCTGCATGCAGCGTGTGTTGTTGTGGACAAAATCAAAACAACCTATCGGCTGACGCTGATGACTCAAATGTAAAGATTGAAAGCATACTCGATACATTGCCCTTGGAATATTTTTAGGATATTCTTAATTTATGTTGAAATCAGCGCGATTTTGAATTAATCATATGGCAGCCAAACAACGTCAACGCAATGCTGCAGGTTTTAAAAAGGATCCCAAACAACACAACAGCAGCAAGGATCTTTCCAAGTGAGCATCATTTACTTAATAGATGATTTTTCCTTACATCGATACAAGTTCTAATTACCTTTGTAATTTAGGTCGTCGAATGAAAAGCAGGTGGAAGATAACATGGGGTTGATCTATCCTGGAGGAGATATGGCCTTCAAACTCCTGCTGTCAGCTAGATTTTGCTCTGCCATTTGGAGCCACATAACTGACTGTGACGAAACCTACAATTTTTGGGAACCAGTTAGTCGTCTGTTGAAACATTAAAGTGTTTAATTATATATAAAATTATATTTTTTCTTTTAGAGTCATTTTCTCCTCTATGGAAGTGGCCAACAGACTTGGGAATATAGTCCACAGTATGCTCTACGATCTTACACCTATTTGCTGATACACATGGTGCCTGCCAAGCTTTATTCCTTCATATTCGAGCCCAATCCCGCTCATGTTTTTTATTTCGTGCGATGCTTATTATCACTAGGCTGTGCTCTTTCAGAGGTCTACTTTTACAAGTAAAGCTATTGATCACCCATCTTACTTATTATTGGAACTATACGTAGAACTAATTTTTTATTTGCTATTTTCAGAAATGTGTGCCGTGAATTTGGTATTCACATTGCAAGACTGACACTCGCATTTCTCATATTTAGTTCTGGAATGTTTATTTCTAGTGCTGCGTTTTTGCCGTCATCGTTTTCAATGTAAATTGTACAATTTTATCATTACCAGATGTTTAAAAAACGAGAAATTTTATTCATAGAATTGATCAGGTATTTCAGTACTGTTGCCATAGCTGCTTGGTACGGACGAAAGTATGAGCTTGCTATATTCGCCACGGCAATCTCGAGTCTACTTGGCTGGCCTTTTGCGGCACTTCTCGGGTATTTTGACTTATAATACGTACATACGCCTCATGTCTAACTCAAAAATAACTTAAAAATTTTTTCGCTTACAGGGTGCCCATTGCAATCGAAATGCTAGTACAGAAGCAAAAGTTGTTAATGTTTTTTAAGTGGGCCATCATCTCGGCCATAGTAATACTGTTGCCAATGATATGGATAGACTCGATTTATTATGGAAAACTAGTTGTCGCACCGCTTAACATCGTTTTGTACAATGTTTTCTCCTCTACTGGTCCAAATCTTTACGGAACTGAACCTTTTAGTTACTATTTAGTCAATGGATTTCTTAACTTCAATTTTGTTTTCATCGCTGCTCTATTTACTCCTGTAGTGCTGGTAATTTATTCTTTTTTTTTTTATACGTTCTAATGTATACGTTTTACAATTGTATTTTTTTTCCATTACAGATTTTAGGATGGGCATTCATCCCTGCAAAGCCACGGCATCATTCATGCTTGCCATACTGGTACTCATTAGCACCCCTATACGTCTGGATGTTGGTTTTCTTCTTGCAACCGCACAAGGTTCGTTATTACGAACTTTTTCGTGGTGAATTCGATAAAAAATACTCTGCTTTATTTTGCAGGAGGAGCGTTTTTTGTTCCCCGTTTATCCTCTAATTTGCTTAAACGGGGCCATTACTGTTGACACTGTACAAAAGCTTTATTTTTTCGTTAAAACTAATCTGTGGGATAAAGTCAAAGTATCTAGTCATTATTTACAATACACAACCCACATAACGGTCACTGCGATCGTTGTCTGTGGATTTTTCGGACTATCGAGATCCATTAATTTGTACCTTGGTAAAAGAGAGAAAAACCATAAACTCGTACTTTTCACTCGAATTTTCGTAATTCATTACAAATTTCAGCGTACCACGCGCCAATGGAAGTCATGATGGACGCGAATAAGTTGTGGTCCGATAATCTGGTAGCCAAAGACATAAACGTCAATTTTTGCGTTGGCAAAGAATGGCATCGTTTTCCAAGCAGTTTTTTCTTTCCATCAAACAAGTAAGTAATCCAACCAAGCTACGATTTTTCGCAATCTTTCGAATACCCTGTGCCATTTTTTCAGCTGGAAGCTGCAATATTTGAAAACGGAATTCAAAGGCCAACTCCCTCAGCCATTTTTAAACCACGAAAATGCCACAAGCATAATACAGCCGAATTTCAATGACATGAATCGAGAAGAACCAAGTCGATACGTAAGCATCTGAATCCTTTTTGGGAAAATAAATAAGTACGTTGGATGAATAAAAGACGTTCAAAATTTCAGATCGACGTTGCGAATTGTCATTTTCTGTTGGACTTGGATAACGGCAAGGAAACGCCATCAGAGCCAAACTACTCCCGCCAATCGAACCGATTCAACATCGTCAAGTCTTCTAAATTCCTGTTGAACTCCGAGTGAGTAGCAAACGAACAAATCGCGTAAATACCAATTTTTTTTTCCACCTTATAACATGACAATTAAATTCGAAACATTTCGTTGCAGATCCCATCCGTTGTTCCGAGCCTTTTACTTTCCATTTGGATCAAGCAAATTCTGCTCGTACGGAAACTACAATCTACTGCAAAATGCGTCATTCAAGTTGTCAAACAAACAAAAAAGTTGATACTATCGTTGAACGAAAATTTCAGTTAACAGTCAATCACGCATACCTGTATACATGTACATGTGTAAGGGACATGTAAAAAGCACACGCGATGTTTCACGCATTGGAACGATGTTTACTCGTTTTTCTGTTATTTGAAAAGAAAAAAAAAAAAACAAAAAAACCACAATACATTTTTCAATGAAAAGTATCAATTGCTCGTGCTTTGTTTATTTCGAAAAAGAAAATTGATTCCCCATCACGTATGGCGTTGGACTTGCGGGGGTAAGACTTAAATTACAAATGCGGTGTTACAAGCGCTTTGTTCCACAGAGGAGACAAAGTCGCTGTTGCACAAAGCGGAAAAGAATAAGGGCCATTAAAAGCCGGGGAAAAAATAGGTGCGCCGCCACGCACTGCGGAGAGTGTCCGAGAGAGCGCGGGGGCGTGAAGAGCGAAAGAATAGCGCGCGGCTATACAGCCATGGGGTAATGACGAGAGGGGGGGGAGAGGAAGTATAGAAACAGATTACTAAACTGTCATGTATATACGTACATACATAGTCGCAGGGAAACAAGATTATACAGGCGATCTCCGTTTTGGGTATTATACATGCGCGTACTTGGATCATTCCGTCAAAACTGACCGGCTATTCCGCGCCCCACGCTTAAGCGATTTCTCACGCGGTGCAAGCTGACAGAAATCGAATCGGGAATTGAATAATCTTTCACGGATTTGTTTTCAAAAGTTGAAAGCGCTCCAAAAAAAAATTGTGCGTCAAGGTTGGCCTGCGAGGATAGTTTTCCCCGGAATCGGTAATGATCGCTTGTCAGCATCACCTGTACACAAATGCAAAATACCGATTCCACCATACATACGTATACCTGCGTATATACTATGCATGATTCGATCGCGGTTCCCTTCTCTTATTTTTCTCTCTCGTCACACACGGTCACCGTCACACACACACTCTCGACTCTCGCGGGTCACACACACACACACACAGGTGTTGGTGTGCAGGTACACACAATGCACGTGTACATATACTACACACACGCGCGCGCGCGTTTGTTTGTGTTCAGCTTAAGGCCCCGCGCTCTCTCAGGTGTTTGGGTGAACCCACTTTTTGGCCTTTAGTTCCCCACGAGCAGCTGAGCTCTGCGCGACACACTCGTTGCAATGCTGCCGATGCCGATCGCTACCCGCTCGGTACCCATTGTACGTAGTGCATATGATATTACTATATTATACACACATCACCACCTGTGTTTAGTTTGAATTAATTCTCGTACGGCCTATTTTTTTTTTTTTTCTTTTTTTTTTCTTTTTCGTTTAATGTTCCTCGACTCCGAAATCGTTCAACTTTTCAGAGATAACAAAACCATCGCACGATTCGCAGTGTTTGCGCGCGCGCTGACGCATTTAAGCCCATCATCATCATCATTATCCTGTAACTCGTTCAAGGCTGATATGCTGCTTGTTGGATATATACGTTATACAACTGATCGGCGCTAATTGCTCTCAAGTTGCAGGTACATAATTATATACCTTGTACATCTCACGTAACTATACGTATCTTAATTGTACTTACTACATAATTTTTACGTGTATTATTGTGCTATTCCGTACGTATATGTGTGTCTATATGCACTATACCGTCACGTACCTAAATCGTATCTCAATCATCTTCCTCCTGGCTCGTTCTGCTCGTTGCTTCGTCTGATTACTCATACTCAATTACATAATATATACATGTACAACTTGTGTACTATTTTTTTTTTTTTTTTTTTTTTTTTTTTTTTTTTTTTTTTTTTTTTTTTTTTTTTTAGTGTACCTAATATTGACCGACTCGTGACAAATGATTAAACCTGTATAGCGATGAAATTTTTGTAATCAAAGTACATTTTATGTATCGTTGATCAGTCGATTCGTTGCCGATCAAACGCGCGACCCGTAGTAAGTGTGAATGAAAATCGGATGGGTACGATGTATGAAAAAAAAAAAAAAAAAAAAAAAATGTACACGCGACAGAGCAATAACAGAGCCAGTGTGTAGTATATATTATACGAAGACAACAACGTATATACACTTACGTCGGAATGTGCAGAAGAATGGCAAAAGGTAGGCGCGCGACGAGAAAGAGAGCTTATATACCTGTATATACAACCCGCCCGCACATACATATATATATGTGTGTGTGTGTGTGTGTGTGTGTGTGTTATTGCTTTTCGTCAGCAGTCACGGTGGTTCTTACTTATATGGATAGGTATCGCGTGTGCTCGGTTAGCTCATTCTCCCGATCCCCGAGATGTAGCGCGGGCCGGGGGAGCGCCAACAGGTGTGTGCGAGACACTTGCAAAGGTGCATCTCTCTCTCTCTCTCTCTCTCTTATGTATCTGTCACTCCTGTATAGGGTTTGTTTGGTTTGTGCAGGCGCAGGTAAAACGTTGCGATACTCGTGGTGGCCGAGAGGAGATAGTATAGTAAAAATGCAGGAGAGGGGACAACAACAGTTGCAAGCCAAGGAGCAGCTCGAGCCCGCGGAGCTGGTGGGCCTGGTGGCGCGGTCCGTCGAGGGCACGGCTGCCAAGGGCATGCCGATCAAGGGCCACGAGGACCTGTGGGTCGAGATACAAGCCAACACGTTTCGCAACTGGGTGAACGAGCACCTCAAGCAGAGCGAGCGCGGCAATCGGTGCGGACCGGTCCTCGATCTCGCCGATGACTTTAGGGACGGCACGCGGCTGTGCGCCCTCGTCGAACAACTCACCGGCAAACCACTCGCCAAGTGGAACCCCGCACCGGTCAATCAGCACCACCACCTCGAGAACGTGTCCACGGCACTTAAGGCCGTAGAGGCCGACGGTGTCAAGCTCGTCAATATCGGTATTCATATTACGTCGTTGTACATACTTGTGTTTTGTTTACCGTGTTGGATTTTATTATTTTTCCGCTCAGGTAACGTCGACATCGTCAATGGCAATCTCAAGCTGATACTGGGTCTCATCTGGTCGCTGATAGTCAGGTACCAGATCGGCAAATCTAAATTCCCCCCGAGAAAACTGATGCTCTCCTGGTTAAAGGTTGGCACCTTCGAACGTGTTTCAATGTTTTTTTGTTTTTTTTTCTTTTTTTTTATTAACAATAACACATCATGTGCGTCGTTCGTTGTCCAGGGTGTCCTGCCGGAATGCAGGGTCAACAACTTCACCACCGACTGGAACTCGGGCGTTTACCTGAGCGCGCTGTTGAACTACTGCAAACCGGGGCTCTTCCCCCACTGGCGGCAACTCGATCCCACGGACAAGTACTACGCCCCTTTGTTTTTGTTCATTTTTCTTCACCGCGTTGTAAGTACACGTGCAAGGGTATGATGATCGTTGCTCCTTGCAGGGTGTACAATTGCCGGAAGGCCATGGAAATAGCGAAGCGAGAGTTCGACATACCGATGGTCCTCCAGCCTGAGTACCTGGCCTCGACCTACCTGGACGAGCTCTCCGGCATGACTTACCTGTCGTACTTCCTGAAGGAGGGCTCGCCGGGCTTCCACGCGACCCTCCGCTGGGTCAACTCTCAGCTTCCCTACAGTTCCATCCAAAATTTCACGGTTAGTTGTTATTTCATATTTTTTGATCCACCGGTGATGGTGAATGACGAAGGGACAAAACAATATAATTGGTGTCGCAGACCGACTGGAACGATGGAACGGCGTTGTGCGGCATAGTCCGGAACTTGGGCGGTCCTGCGCCCCCCTACGACAAAATCGACCGGAGCCCCGGGTCGTGGGAGCGAAATTTGCAGCAGGGCATCGACGGCGGCAGAAAACTGGGAGTGGAGCCGCTGCTCAAGGCCAAAGACATGGCAGACCAGAACGTCGAGCACCTCGGCCTCATGGCTTACGTCGCCTTTTTCCAGTGGGTCAAGCCACGGCCGCAGCTCAACGAACAGGCCGTCGTCCACATCGACAGCACCTCGGCCAGGGTCCACCAGCCGGTATATAAATCTTTGGAAAAAAAAAAAAAAAAAAATCCCAAAAACCGCGCTCCAAGTGATTCGTGGTGGTTTTTCCAGGCCCACTTCAAATTGGAGCTCATATCGAAGGATGTGATTACGAGGCAGATACGCGGCGAGGTGACGAGTTCGAGCGGCCGGTCCGAGTGCCGGCTCACGTGGAACGGCCTCCACGGAAAGGGCACCTTTGTCCCCGCGGAAGTCGGAATGCACAGAGTAAGCCGCGATTGTTTGTTTCCTTTGATTGAGAAAAAAAAAAAAAAAAAAAAAAAAAAAAAAAAAGGTGTCGTTTGCGTATAGCTGATGGTGTACAACGACGGCGAGGCCCTACTCGGCTGCCCGTACTACTTCCGGGTCCACCCTCCCCTCACCAAAATAAAAGCGACCGGCATGGACCCCTGCGCCATCGGATCGGTCGTCGAAGTTCTAGTCAATAGTTACGGTAAGTCCCACACCGAGACGCCAATGACATAATTATATTACACGCAACACCTGTTTTGTGACGATGACGAGTGTGACGAATATAGGCACTAGTCACGAGGGCGTGAGCGTGTCGGCGTGGTCGCCCACGGGACGCGAGCTCAACTGCCCGGTACGGGAGAACGACGGGGTGCACACGGCCACGTTCGAGCCGGACGAGACCGGCGAGTGGAGCATAGCCATAATGCACAAGGGCGCCCACATACAAGGTGGGCCCTTCAACTGCTTCGTCTTCGACCCGCACGGCATCCAACTGTCGAGCCTCGAGGGCGCAAGGCCCGGCCAGCCGTTCAACTTTACGGTCGACGCCAGCGCCACCGGGGGCCTCGGCAACGTCGTCCTCGACATCGTCCACGACAAGCAATCGGTCGCCCACATAGTCCGGGAGTACGAGCGCATGAGTTACCGCGTATCCTTCGTTCCCCGGGAGGTCGGCAAGTACCGGGTGTACGTCTACTTCAACGGCACGGACGTCCGGGGCTCGCCGTTCATCATCAGGGTCGGCACGCTCCAGCAGAGAAACGCCTCCAGGCGCTCCTCGGTCCTCTCCAAGACGGCCTCGCTCGACCGCAGGTCCAACAACAACGGCTACGCCACCACCACCAACACGGAGCTGTACGAGAGCAACAGGTCGTCCAGTAGCTTGAGGGGCTCCCCGGCACCTCCGTCCCCGAGGATCCAGCAGCGACCCCTGGCCAGGCGCTCGACCGACAGCCCGACCTCCTTCGCCGACGAGAACAAGGACAACAAGTCGAGCCTGTTTGGCCAGTCGTTCAAGTCGTCCGCGCACGGCTGGAGGCCGTCTCCGTCGGCGTCGCCCAGCGGCAGCCAGAGCAACCTCGACGGGCCCTTGTACAACGCGGCGAGGCAGTACGCCAAGAGCAACCTCGTCACCAATACGAGCTCGGCGTCGTCGAGTTCCTTGTTCGCCAAAAAGAGCAAGGAGCTCGACTACGGCTTTCAGAGCAGCGCCGACAAGAACGGCATCGTCGACACGAGCAGCAACGTCAAGGGTACGCGTACATTTATAATATAATATCGTATGATGATGATGATGATGATGATGATGATGATGTTTGTGATGGGTCGGCAGTGTCGTCGTCGGTGAAGGGCTCGCTGAGGCGCGACATGTGGGACGCGATATCCAAGACCAAGTCGTTGCTGTCGTACGGCAGCCTCGAGTCTCTGGCCAATCTGACGCACCACGCCTCGTTGGCGGACGAGCCGGGTAAGAGCAACGGCGTGAACGGCGGCTCCTCGTTCGGCAGCTCCGAGATCGCGCCCAAGGTGATTGTCGCCGACACGGACACGCGGGGCATACTGAAGAACAATAAGCCGATCGGTAATGGTCACTCCGCGAAATTGGACACGATCGTCTCGTCGACGACTACGACGGATGCCGTGGAGAAGCACTCGTCGTACCTGAGCGAGTCCTCGGTTTTGAAGACCAGCGGTGCCGAGAGTCTTGCGACCGGCAACGCGCTCCGGATGCTCGGCGTGCACCGGCCCACCTGCTTCACCCTGGACTCGAGCTTGGACGCCAGCAAAATCGCCGTCATCGTCACTGGTATAATCGATCGGTGCCCTTTTTTTTTCATTCGAACTTACGTGTTACTTAAAAGCGTGTCTTTGTAGGTCCGAACGGTAGACCGGTGCCGGTGCAAAAATCGGCCTTGAGGGGCCAGACCTACACAGTCATTGCCGATCAAGTGGGTGAGCACACCATACAAATCCTGTACAGTGGCCAACACATCAAGGGATCGCCGTTTAGGCCCCAGGCGTACGATTCCAAGGCCATACAGGTGGGAAACATACCGGACGGTGTAGTGAACGAGCCGGTCGAGTTTGAAAGTGAGTTAATCGGCAAATCTATACGTACGCGTAACTCTCGAGTGAAAATTATTTGCGTTGATGAGGAATAAATGAGCGATCGTTGTTGCAGTCGATGGTACCAGAGCTGGCTCTGGGAACCTGGAGATTTTGGTGAACGGCGGCCACGTGACGAGCTTCGTTCGAACGCTGGGCAGCCAAAAGTTCCTGGCTTCCTTCGTCCCCCACGAGGCTGTCACGCACCTGGTCGAGATGACCTTCAACGGCGAAACCGTTCCCGGTAAGTCGCGCCTATACACACCCTCCATTCTTTTTTGGTTTTTTTTTTTTTTTTTTTTTTTTTTTTTGCGTATTATTGAAAAAAAATATAGTTTAATTTATTTACGATACAGAGAAGTACGCACGTACAAATAAGTATTTTAAACGAAAAAAAAAACTGTCTTGGTCATTGACGCGATTTCACGCGCGCGCGTTCTCCTTTGGCGCGTGTGCCATTAACCCGAATAAACCATGTACGGTCTCGCGGCGACAAAAAACGACCGTATGGATGCTATCCTGCGTGAGCTCCCTTTTTTTTTTTTCTCTCTATCTCGTCTTACTCGGTTGCTCCATTTTTCACGGAAACGTTTATACATGCGATTGTTCAATTTTGCACAAATGAAACAATATGCGACTTGCGCCTCGTAAGTATTATAATTATGTTTCTATACCGATGACGACAGAAAAGCCAAGCGAGGAAGTTGGCAAAAAAAGGGAAACATTTAAATTGCAAAAGAACACTCGTATATATGTAGACTTGATGTAAAGTAGAGGATGCAATGAAAAAAAAAAAAAAAAAAAAAAAAAACGGTGGGTGTAGAAAATATATAGAGAGAAAAAGAGGGAAGGGGAAAGTGCGGAGAGAGAGCAAGAATGATTTGGCCGGCAGCGCAGAGCGCGGCTGTACCTTCATTGTAAGGAGTCTCCCGAGACGCCAAAGGAGGAAAACTTCCATCTGAGAGTCACTGGCGTATAAGATACCCCTATACGAATCGCTCGAATATGAGTAGTACTTATATGTATACGAGGTACGAGAGAGTGTATGTACATAGGTACAATTCAATGGGAAAGCAGCAACAGCGGGACCGTGTCGCGAACGCTTTGTACTTACACGCGTAAAATATGTGCTGCAAAATAATTTTTTTAGCCCCTCTCCAGATACCATTCCACGATTGTACTTTGTCGCAGATTGACTTTCGACACTAAAGCGCAAGGAGTTTTCGTTATTTCCATAACAACGAAGGATATAGTGCAGGCTCTGGATGTTCGATTTGTTTTTTCAAAGACCGTATATATTATACCATGCAGGGCTTCAAACCTATACCGGTCCATAAAAATATGCGCGTCATCACAGATATACCGCGTATGAAGGAAGAAGGGAAAAAACGCGGTGCAACTTTTACCCGCGTGCTTATTATCAAGTATTAGCCCACTAACACACTTTCGCTGCTGCTCTCGACTTGGTATTTTATACCAAGTACGACACCATAGGTATACAATACATATAAGACTTAATCGTCATCGTCGACGTAGCCGTCATTTGGAGCCTCGAGCCTGAGAGAGTAGTACGAGTAAGTGTAGGTAAAAGTCGGCGGCGGCGACGACATTCCTCGCGTTGGAAAATAGTATAATAGCGCTCTCGCGGCTCTCACTGCACGTATAGTGTGCATGTAGGTGCATATTATAGGTACACGGCTCTCTTACCCCCAGAGTTAATTAATAATTTGAGAAAAACAGTTAGTGTAACGAGAAAATAAAGGGAACAGCGCGTTATAAACGACCGCGTATATATTTATACGGTTGGAGATCGGTATGTAAGATCGGTTCGACCGATCGGCCGAATCGCGATCATCCAGAGAGAGAGAGAGAGAGAAAAGGCATTCCGGAAGGGCGATACGCCACTTCCGCCAAATGAAACGATGTATCCCGGGGTCCATGAGCTCTAGGCACAGCTCTGAGCTGTGTATTACCTTTTACATACCGGGACTCCTCTCTGACTCTTCGACATTGGCCTGATCGGTATGAGGAATCTCCCTCTCACTCCGACACAAACACACACACGGGTAGCGGTAGTAACGTTGCAGGATATCAGCTTACGTATACCTAAGACGGTATACCTACACATACACACATGGCTCGATGTAGCGCAGAGAGCGGGGGCATGTCGTCCAGTCCAGGAGGAGGAGGAGGAGGAGGCAAGAGGTTGCCCACACACACACACACACCGCACAGACACGTCGAAAAGAAAAAGAGAGAGAGAGAGAGGATCTGGCGTATACTCTCGGCCAGGCCACAGCCAGTGTAGTAGTAGTACTCTACACGTCAGCGCCGCGTCTCGCGAAAAAACTCCTCCTCCTGGCTCGCGGAGGAGTGGAGAACAATAATATAACGTACCCGTTCGCGTTTGCCACTTTTTTAACTCGCCACTAACTCGATCATCCCCAATAACCAATAGGCAACAATACAACCGATCTTTTAATACTTTTTTTTTTTTTTTTTTTTTTTTTTTTTTTTTTTTTTTTTTTTTTTTTTTTTTNTTTTTTTTTTTTTTTTTCATTCTTACCTATCTTTTCTCCTTCTTGTTTTCGCAACCACACAACTGCCGTACCTTTTAATTACACTGCTTAGTTCCAACACCGAACGTACAATATATAATCAACGCGGACGGTCTGTGTACTTTTTTTTTTGTTTTTGTGCATCTCCGATGTTTCAGAACACCGATTAGTTGTATACGTGCGCGTTTATGTGAAAACTTGCGTTTCGTGCCAATATATACATATATATACCGAGAGTGCCTGTCTGTCGCGAGTGACGAAAATGAGATCGGCCGGTTTCGCGTTCCGGAGTCGCTGTCGCTGCTCCTCCTCGTCGGCCCTCGCCTCCTCCTCAAAGATCTGACGCGCTTCTCATCCTGCCCACCCCCTACGCACCTGTTGCACACATTACCCTCTCTATCTATCTCTATTGTACACCCTATTTTATTTATTTATTTATTTATTTATCTTACCATCACTGTATTGTCCTTTTCGTTACGCGCGTATACGTGTGCTCGGTCGTCCGTCGTGTCCTCTCGTTTACAGCTCACCCGAAGATTCTTCGATTTTAGGATCCGATCGAAACAGCTGGTGATTTTAAAGGTATATGTACATACACACGCATATGATACTGGTGAACGCGATACCGATATCGTCATTTTTCTTGTATAATGTACCTATATATTACTTGTAAATCCGATTGGTCTCGTTTATCATCAATTGTTAACAATTGCTGACGGCATAGCGATTGCGAATCGGTCCCAAATACACCCGCTGGATAGAGATACACTGCATCATATTGCGAATCGAGTCTATACATATACATACACATACAATATACTATACATATGTACATGTGTATACATACAGAGAGTATATAGTACATATACCTACGCATTCCGTTGTTGATCCTACTTATTATTCTTATTCCCGTTATTTATGCGCCGAGCACCTCATTCACCCATACGGCTTGCATGTACACGCGTATAGGATACAATTGAGTATACGTATACCAATGCACTCTCGAAACAAAATATTATACAATTATATACATTTATACGCCAAAGTTAAAATACGTCGTGAGTAATAACAATGTACCTTACCGTACACCTATAATATGGTTAGACGTTCGCAATAGCGCTCGGGTATCCGTGAAAATTCCTGTTTTATTTTTTTCTCATACAAATATATACATAAGTATAGTACGGGTGTATCGCGCGAGGTATATATACATGTGTACGCGAGAAAGAGTAGTTTGTGCGCTCGATCGCCGCGCGTATTATACGTATATATACAGTATGATGAAACATTATCGATACGCGCTCTTCCCGCGATATATTGACCCCCGTATGATTGTAAAGTTTCTGTATTTTTTTCCTCAAAAATAAAATAACCGATGGTATAAATTTGCGCAGGATCACCTTGGAAAGTCGGCATAATGCCGAGTCCAAAGATGTCGGTGGTCGGGGACTCGGTGAGGCTCGTACCGGCTGGCAGCCCCGCCGTGTTCGAACTATCGGCGCTCGGCTTCAACAGCACCGAGATCCAAGTGCAGATACTCAGTGAGTACTTTTTTTTTTNTCACGTCCCGTTCGTCTTTTTTTCCTCTCCGGCTTCTTTTTTTTTTAGCCGCGCCGTGGTGTACGCGAGTACGGTGGCAAGTAGGCACGTGGAGGTTTTGGCTCCGTAGGCAATCGAGCATCCTATCGCTTGATGAATAAATAACGGGATCGGTGCAATTTTTTTTTTCGACCTCCCGCGCACGCATATTTGTACACACGATTAATGCAAAAACAAACAAAAAAAAATCTTTCAGCTCCGTCGAAGCGTCAGATTGGGGCGCGTATCGACGAGGAGCCCAACCGCAAGGGCGAGTTCCGGGTGACATTCACGCCCCAAGAGGTGGGTAGTCACTTTATCGAGGTTAGCATAGCCGGGCAAAAACTACCGGCCGGGCCCCTAGTCGCCAAAGTCTACAACAGCGGGCTCATCCAGGTGACGGAGGTCCCTAGCGCCGTGGTCGGCCACGCCTGTCAGTTTCGGGGTAAGTGTATATACCTATCAATATTATACGTGCAAGTTGTATACAGATATATGTATACCAATGATGGGGGTGTTAAAATATATTATGTACAGTTGACGCGAGTGCCGCCGGCGAGGGTCAACTCGAGATATCGATAAACAACGGCGAGGTGCCGAACCACGTGCAAGTGGTGGGTGGTGGCCGTTGCCTAGTGTCGTTCACCCCGGAGGCGGCCAAGCCCCACTACATAGACATCAAATTCAACGGGGAACCGGTGCCCGGCTGTCCCTTCGTCTGCCTGGTCTCGGACACGAGCCGGGTCAGCCTCAGCCTCGGCCACCTCGAGCTCCTGGCCGTCGGCGAGCCCGCCACCTTTCGCCTGAGCGTCGACGGCTCCGGTAGCGCCGAGCTCGCCGTCTCGGTCCGCGGACCCGGGGCCACCGAGCTCCCCGTCAAGGTCAGTTCATGCCAACAAAAAGCCACAAACTCATCTTTCGTGGTAACACGTGCTCATGAAGGGTGTGGTTTTGGGGTGTGTAGGTGACGGGTGACGTGTACGCGGGCTTCAGCGCCGAGTTCACTCCCGTTGAGGTGGGGGGCCACGTGGTGACTGTCGAGTACAACGGTCACGCGGTCAACGGCACGCCCTTCCTGGCCAAGGCGTTCGACGCGTCGCGGGTGGTTATAGGGCCGATGGGCCGGGCGAGCGTCGGCCGAGCCCAGCACTTTAGCGTCGACGCGTCCCAAGCGGGTGAGGGTAACCTCGAGATCACGATATCCGCCCGGGGTCAGAACATACCGACCCAAGTGACGCCCCAGGGCAACGCTCGCTTCTCCGTGGGCTTCGTGCCGTTCGAGGCGTGCGAGCACTTGGTCAACATTGCCTTCAACAAGCGCACGGTCCCCGGCTGTCCGATAGTGGCGCGCGTCGAGCCCGACGCCCACGTCACCGTCAGCGGACAAGCCCTCAATAGCGCCCCACTCGGGAGACAGAGCTCACTCACGATCGGCAACGTACCTGGTAATTTGGACGACCTGGAGGTTAACGTCGAAGGTACGCTTTCCACCCACCCACCCCCCTTGCTTGCTGCGCGCGTGTGTGTGTGCTTCATATACAACCATCCACTGCGTGTTGCCTCACTATACCCTCCTCTTCTTCCTCCTCGTTCTCTTTTTCATTGTTTTACTTTTTTTCACTACAATACTATAATAACATTATCGGTATATATACCTACCTTATATACACCAATATGCATCATCACGTGTAATGATTTAAGTATATACAGTACTTATACTTTGTACTCTCGCACCGATCGACTTCAGAGCTGTTTCTCTGTATTGTCTGTTACAGGTTGGCCAACTTTCAGACTACGGCATTAAAATAGATCCTTGTTCCTTGAACAACTTCTCACACTTCTCTTCGTTGTTGTTGTTGTTGTTGTTGTTGTTAATGTCGTTGTTCTAACCGCATCTATTATTATTATTATGCTCATACGCAAACACCTGTCTAACAAAAGTTAATTGACTTACAATGCACACACCTGTAATATGCGGGACACGCACTCGAGAGGGTGAATTTTAAAAGGTGACGGGCACAACTTACCCATATCTAATGTCTTTACTAACTATTACTATTATTATTCATATGTTTGTTATTAGATGGCTAATTTTTACTCCATACCGTTTTAACAAATCCACCCAACATATACATTTTCACCTAATTTACGCTTGTAAACAGCATGTCAACTAATTGGTCGACTAAAGGGACTTTTTGATAAAATTCACATATCCCTTTGGATCACCGTAGTTCCTGTAATGTTTTTTGTTTTGTTTTTTTTTTTTTCAATTGTTGATAAGAAAAAAAAAAAAAAAAAAAAAAAAAAAAAAAACAAAAAAACCACAATACATTCCATAACCAGCCATACGCCTCAGCCATAAAAATATAAACCATACGGTACATACACTCAGGTACAACTAATGAGCTTACAGGGTATAGCTGAACCAAAACGTAACGCGTTCGGAGCTTCTTAGTGCAGGGTATATATATATATATATGTATTATATAATGGAATAATATACTCGTCAAGTGGCATTCTTTCGTGCAGGTGTGACAAAACGCTCTTTTTTTTATGTATAGCGTGCACGCGAGAATGCCATCCATTGACAGAGAGAGAAAGATATACTTAATAGAGTGCATTGATTAACGCTTCTGCTGGCGAATTCCGCGTGTAGTATAGGTAAAATACACTATGCAATAACCTTGAGAAAAAAACGCTTTAACGGTATAGAAAAACGCGAGAGAAAAAGAAAGAAAAAAAAAAAAAAAAAAAAAAACCACCCCATTTCGAAGGTTGGCTCGGTTCGCTCGGTATAACCCATTGGCCGATTAAAAGCACGAGCATCGATTAACCCACTAAGTACTTGCGTACCCGAGCTTGAAAATTAAAAACATTAAAAAAATTAAAATAAAAGAAAAGGAAAAATACACGGTAGAGGGAGGGGGTGTCAGAGAGAAAGGGTCTGGCTGTAGCGCGTACGAAATTAATGAAAAACACTAACCCAACCGGCGGACTTGAAATAGGACCCAACGGACAGGCCGTGGCCGCTCAAGTGACCGATAATAAAGACTCGACGTGCACGGTAGCTTTCACGCCGCGTATCGTCGGCGAGCACCGTATCGCGGTTAGCCATCGGAGCCTGCCCGTCCTCGGCAGTCCCTTCAGCTGCAAGGTCTACGATGTGGCCGCCATCAAGGTCAAGGACGCCAAACGGGGCGTCATCGGGCTGCCCGTCACTTTTCTCGGTACTGTGTCTCTCTCTATGTGTGTGTGCTTTATCATACCCGTAAAATAAAAAATAATCATGTATGTGCAATACAAATAAAAAGTGGAGACGAGCCAAGCCGGTCCGGGTAATCTCGAAGTGACGGTCAACGGCGGACGGGTGCCGACTTCGGCGCAAGCTCAGGGGCCCCACACCTACGCCATTTCTTTCACGCCGCGCGAGCCCATCAGCCACACGGTCGATCTTCGCTTCAACGGGGAAGACGTGCCCGGGAGCCCCTTCACTTGCCAGGTGAATATATATACATATACCTTTGCTTGAATTTTTTTCTTTTTCTTCTATAATTTCGCTTTCCAGCAGTATAGTTTCGAAAAACTTCAGATCAATTCTCACCTATTGTTTTCAACAAAGAAAAAAAAAAAAAAAAAAAAAAAAAGTTGTATGAAAAAAGACTGATACATTGAATGTACCCTTGGTGGGTGGGTATAGGTGAGCGACGCAGCCAAGGTCATAGTGACCGAAGCTCTCGAAAAGGTGCCGGTCAACAAGCTCGCGAGCTTCGTCGTCGAAGCCGAGGCGGCGCCAACCGTCGATGTCCTCGCGCCGACCCGCGAGAGCCTGCCCGTCGACATTAACCAGACCACGGCTGGCGTCTACACCGTCAACTTCACCCCCAAAGATGTCGGTGAGTGCAGTTTTTTCGACTATGTTGCCTTGGTGCCTAATTTTTTTTTTTTTTTTTTTTTTTTTTTTCAAAAAAATATTTCTCTAACTTGTAGTTTAAAAAAGGTAAAAAATAATTAAAAACAATAAAATAAAAAAAAAACATGTTATGCGGTGAAGTGAATATTTCTCGTTCAATAAGCGGAAAAAAATGTACCTACTTGATTATACAAAACATTGTTTTTCATGAATTTTAATTTATTTAATTGGAAAAAATGTTGAATTGAACGAGGACGAAGGAGTAATTTTTTCATTACAAAAAAAATTGTTTGCGCTGAGCGCCCTGAGGTTTTGGGAAAATAAGATTCCCGGGACTGTGCAATCGAAAAGCGCACTTACGAATCTTTTAAAGGGGCGCTGCTCGACTTATACTTGTTTGCGTCCGAATATAATACTGCATGATATATACTGCACCAAACTGAATCACCATTAAATTAATAGTGAATAAAATTTTTTTTTTTTTTTATTGTATTGCTTATCCATTGTTTATAATATGTTGAGTTTCATCTCATAGATTATTGCATAACATTTACGTAAGATAATGTAATATTTTTTTTATTTTATTTTTTTTTTCCTAAAATAAGTAAATTTATAAGTATCCTTGGCATGAAAATATAAACTCGTGTCGTATAATCATCACCTTCACACGTACCGTAATGTTGCGCGTACAGGCGACCACAGCGTTCAAGTGAAGCTGAACGGCAGCCACGTACAGGGCAGTCCGTTCCTCGTCAAAGCTTACAACGCCGACCAGGTCAAGGTAACCGACATCAACAGCGGAACAGTCGGCAAACCCGTCTTCTTCAGCAGTGAGTATCGCCAAACCGCGCAATAATCCATAATTTATAAGGGTAACAATTTTTCTCATCACTTCCATGAACAGTAAACGCCAGTCAAGCCGGAGCCGGCAACCTCGAGATAATCGTCTCGGTGAACGGGAAAAACGTCCCGAACTTTGTGCAGAGCGAGGGCAACGCCAAGTTTCGCGTGAACTTCAAGCCCCAGGAGGCGGCGACGCACAGCCTGAGCGTGCGCTTCAACGGCGAGCCGGTCCCGGGCTCGCCCTTCACCTGCCAAGTCCACGGCACCGGCCAAGCCCTCCTCACCGGCCACAATCTCAAAATGGCCCCAGTCCGACAACCCATCAGCTTCACCCTCGACCCCCAAGCCCCGTCCACCAAGTGCGACGTCATCGTCACGCCCCCGGCCAACATCGCTCTACCCATCACCGTCGAGCCCATCGACCAAAAGTACAAGATCACCTTCACACCCGCCGAGGTCGGCCGGCACAACGTCACCGTCCTCGTCGACTCGGAACCCATCAAGGGCTCCCCCTTCGCCTGCAACGTTTACGACGTCACCAAGGTACCTACACGCTTGTACAATTATATGTGTATCCCTGCATCTTCAATCCCATCGCGTCAATTGCAATAAATCGATGCCGCAGATACACGTGTCAGGCCTGAGCGAGGCGCTGCTGGGCCAAGCGACGACCTTCACGGTTGACGCGGCCCAAGCGGGCGAGGGGACCCTCGAGTTGGTCGTCAGCACGGAGAACAACACCGTCAAGGCGGAGGTCGTGGCTTGCGCGCGCGGCCTCTACGACGTGACCTTCGTGCCCCAGACCTCGAGCACCCACTACGTCAACATCAGTTTCAACGACGACAACGTACCTGGTAACACCTATACAATCCCACCTAATGCTCGTGCCGTTTGGACCGTTGTGGCTGACGCGTTTATCGTTTTGCTGTTTTTTGTAGGTAGTCCGTTCAAGTGTCCCGTGGTGGGTAGCATCCTGGAGGGCCCGTCGGTCATTAGGATGGGAAACACGGCCTACCTGGACTTGGACGCGGCCGGCATAACCGGTCCCATAACTGCCGAAGTGACAGGTCCCGATGGCACGGTCATCCCGTGCAACCTGACCAAGCTGGATTCCAACGCGCACCGCATCGAGGTGCGAGCCAAGCACGTCGGCACGTACAGCGTCGTCTTTAGCCAGGGTTCCAAGGTCATAAGCTCCCAGAGCCTCCAGGCGTTCGACCCCACCAAGGTCGTCATCCAGGAGATATCGGACGTGGTCTGCCATCGGCCGGGCACCGTCACCGGTGAGCCAACGTTCTTTTCTTTTTTTTTCACCTCCCCACCGTAATGGGCCACCCCTCGATCGATACACCCAATGTATGTGTGCACACAGTACTAGTGCCAAAGGAGGCCGGGCCGGGCAAGCTCGCGGCTTACGTGCGCTCGGGGGGCGCGGACGTGGACAGTCTCATCCGGGAGGAGCTCGACGGGGTCTACGAGGTCATATTCCACCCGACGCGGGCGGCGCCCCACCGGGTCCACATCAAGTACAACGACGTGCACATACCAGGTATACGAATGAGTTTGGTCGAATGCTGGGAATTGCCGACTCATCGGCCGATCTTGTTGCAGAGAGCCCGATCGAGGTGGCCGTGCGGGGTCCAGCGGGCGGCAGGGAGGTCACGGCGACGGGCCTGGGCCTCTACCAGTCGTGCGTCGGCAAGGTGACGTCGTTCTCGATCGAGACGCTGGGCAGGCCGGGCAAGGAGTTTGACGTCGTCATCAGCAGTCCCCAGGGCAACGCCGTGCCCGTGCGCTGCTACCAACACCGGGACGGGACGCTGCTCGCCGAGTTCACGACCAGCTCGATCGGTATACTTTTTTTTTTTTTTTTTTTTTTTTTTTTTTTTGTTTTTTTTTTTCCCTTCCAACGAAAACAATGATGTACTAATCTCGCTCACATCAGGCACCTACAAGATCGACGTGCTGCACGGGTCCAAGTCCGTGCTGGGCTCGCCGTTCTTCTGCCACGCGTTCGACCCATCGAAAATCAAGCTGCAGGAGCTGGGTCCCCCAACGATCTCCGTCCACGACCACTTTGCCCTAAAAAGTAAGTGTAAAGTCACTAGAGGACAAAGAGTGCCCCAATGGTGTACCTACAAGTATAATATATCATCGGTGTATCGTTCGAAGTCGTGAAGGTGGACGCGGGCGTGGCGGAGTTGGACGTGACGGCGACGAGTCCCCTCGGCCAGGAGGTGAGCCTCGAGTCGCGCAGCCTCGGCGAGGACGCGGACATGGTCGAGTTTTCCCCGTCGGTGGCTGGCTCGTACTCGATAAGCGTGACGTACGGTGGGGTCCCGGTGCCGGGTAGTCCGTTGTGCTGCGTGGCCGAGGCCACGGGCCAGGCGCGTTGCTCCGGCCAGGGTCTCCTGCTCGGACACGTGGGCAAACCGGCCCACTTCCTCGTTACGGGCAGCCGACCAGCCCCGGCCGTCCAGGTCGACGGACCCGACAGCGTGGCCAAGCCCTGCGTCGAGGCCGGTCCCACTCCCGGCACCTGGAGCGTCACCTACGTACCCACCGAGCCCGGGGTCTTTGACGTCAGGGTCGTCTGCGCCGGCCAACAACTCCCCGGCTCACCCTGGCACCCCAACATCGTCGACACGCGCAATCTACGGGTAAGCCGTCACCAAAATTTCCACCACCTCCGTCCCAATGACATACCACGTTTGCTTAAACCACCTCTGTGTCCAAGGTCATCGGTGGCTGGCCGGCCCTCTGCGACGAGCTCGGACGGCTGAAGCTCGCCCCGGGCAACAAGGTACGTTTCCACACGGTCCAGAGATGCATGTATAATTATTGATGTGTATACGTATATGCCACGAGACAGGTTCACTTTGACGTGTCGGAGGCGGGACCTGGGGAGCTGACCGGGAGCATCGACGAGCAAGCTCTCAGCTTTGAAACTACCTCCAACGGCCGGCTGAAGCTCCTCGTGCCCCAGGTGGCCCCGGGCGAGCACGCCATTGACATACTGTTCAACGGGATGCCCTTCCCCGGGGCCCCGAAGCTCGCCGTCGCCCCCGAGGCTCAGGTACATACAGTTGCGCTGCACCCGCGTGTAAATTGTCCTCATCTGAGTGTGGGCCCTTTGTTGTTCAGGCTTCGCTGGCACAGGACTCGAGCCGAGTCGTTCTGCGGGGCAAGGGACTGACGGCGGCCAAGTGCGGGGAGCAGGTGAGCTTCACGATTGACGGATCACAGGCTGGAGCCGGGACCCCGCAAGTCCAGATATTCTCACCTACGAGGGAGGTAGACGTGGTCCTGCAGCACTTGGGTATGTGTACACACAAAAGGTCACGACGAGACGAGTCTTTGGCTGACGGTCGCGTTCGCAGGTAACAGCGTGTACAGGGCGAGCTACACCCCGTTCACCTCGGATCCGCTGCTGATGACGGTCTCGTGGAACGGACGCCAGCTGAAGGGCTGCCCGCTGCAGATAAGCGTCTCGAACGCGGCTGACTCGTCGCGGGTCGTTTGCTCGGGCCAGGGGCTCAAGTACGGCGTGGTCGGCCAGGAAATCAAGAGCTTCATAGACACCAGACGAGCGGGCCCGGGTGAGTCTATTTCTTTTCTTTTTTTTGTCTCCGTTATGAGCTACGGTAATCGGCAATCCGGGTGGGGTACATCTTGCAGGAGAACTGACGGCCCACTGCGTCGGTCCGCACAAGGTGGCCTACTGCGAGCTCTACGATCACGGGGACGCGACCTTTACGCTGAACGTCAAGCCTCAAGAGGCCGGCAGGCACGCCTTGACGATCAAGTACGCCGGGGAGCACGTGTCCGGCTCGCCGTTCACCCTCAAAGTGTCGGGGGCGCCCGACGCCTCAAAGGTCGGTCCTGTCGAGATGACACTTTTCGATACTTTTTTTCGTTTGGAATTGAAAATCTTTGTCCTCGCCAGGTGCGGGTTTACGGTCCCGGGATCGAGCACGGGGTGCTGGCGACCTTCCAGTCGCGGTTCATTTGCGACACGCGGGGCGCCGGGGCGGGCCAGTTGACGGTGAGGGTGCGCGGGCCCAAAGGGGCCTTCAGGGTCGAGATGCAGCGCGAGACGCAAAAGGACAGGATCATACTGTGCCGGTACGACCCGACCGAGCCCGGCGACTATCGCGTCGAGGTCAGGTGGGCCGGGGTCCTCGTGCCCGGCTCGCCCTTCCCCGTGAAAATCGTCGACACCCAGGACGAGCTGCTCATGCTCACGCACCAGGTGACTCGGACGCGGTTCCATTATAACAATCACAACGTAAGGCCTTTATACGTTGGCCTTTTTTTTTTTAAAATGCTCCTTCGATTTTGTTTGCAGGGCATCGACACGTGCACGACGGCTAACCACCACACGCTCACCTCGTGGAGAGGATCGCAAGCGATTCTGTAATACCTATTATTACGTTTATCACGATGATTACATTATTATTTATTAATAGGATCGAAGCAAAAGAGAGGACGAAAAATTTTTGATGGTACATATACATATATATTTTTTATGTGTATACACGCATTAGGTTTACGTATAGAAATGCAAATATATATACATATATATATATATATTTTATTACCCATATTTTTATGTGAATAAACGTGTTTTGATGAACGACCATGGTGATTTTTTTTTCTTCTTTCCATCTCCAGTGTTACTTTAACGAAGGAAAAAAAAAAAAAAAAAAAAAAAAAAGAGTTGGGCCAGTAAGAATGCATGTATACCCGAGTATAGAGATAACAGATATAAAGCGATGGGTAGTCCCGTGGTGGTAGTTCGGAGGGGTTGTACCATTAATAATAAAATCGACACGAGGAGAAGAGCGCAGCCGATTTATACCGATCCGGGGAAGAGACGCACATGTCGTGTACTGGCGCACCTCCGGTGAGCAATATTTCGGCGTGTAAGACGATAGCCAATAAATAAGAGTCATTGTCCGAGTGTCCGAGCTCTCTTTGGGCCAACAAATCGTAAAGCATACAGAATAGCGCAAAAACGAGCTAAGAGTCGCTCGGACAATGGTCACGATTATCGGATTCTCTCTCTCTCTCTCAATATGGTTGTATACATGTGGGTATCCTATATTTTTTTTTTTTTTTCCTTTCTCGGACAGCTGTCGTCGTATACCATGTGTAATAGGTAACTATCCGAATTGATGGGCACTAGCGAATTCAATGATAATAGCGCCGTAGTGGCCAGCCGCACGCGCATATACGTACTCGGACAACACTATGCTCTAATTGTTTGAGCCGAGGCTGGATGGAGTTGCGCGTATATATTTATGTAGTTGACCCTACGTGGGTATCTTTACTTTCCCCTATCCTATGTACCACCACTTCTTTGGCGCGTGTGGGTATATATACGTACTGTCTTTCTTTCGTATATTATATAGGTATACAACAAAAATACACGTGTGTATACCTCCAAGTGCATATACAGTGGACACACGACAGGAGCACGTGTCGCGTTTCGCACTTGTGTGTACATTATTATGTATACGCTGCAGCGGCGGCTACTTGACTGGGCGCTCGGAATTGCCACTACAGTTTCTTCATTGTTCTCCGGCCGGACCGGCGGATCCGATGTTAAAGTGCTCTCTTGCATTGTGCCCCGCGCTCGGACACTTTTTTCTTTCTTTCTTTTTTATCTTTTTTTATCTTTTTTTTTTTCCCCCATCAATCCCATGCGGAATTTTCTGACGATCGGTAGCCAAAGCACCGGGTGTTAAAGCTGTGAAAAATCGGCAAGCGATCGGTAATATATATATATAATAATCGCACACAGCTCTTGGGCGATATGTATACGAGCCGATGAAAATTGAGAAACGATGGATGGTGGGTATAAAACTGTCGTCAATTAACGCGACGTAATCGAACCGACGAGAGTGGGAAACGGGGGTGGGAAAACGAGGAAGAAGAAGAACAATAGGTCAAGATCGGTAGGTATATTGCAATCGGGGTACAATATGCACGTGCGAGAGCACGTCGGGGGATTAAGGGCGGAAAGGGGGGAAGAGGAGGAGGAGGAGGAGGATACACGATGTAAGAAAGAAAGAGAGAGAGAGAGAGGGTAGTAACACTGTATACCAAAACACCAATGTGCGTGTGTGTACAGAGAGAGAAAGACGGCTACCTTGTATACTTGATGTAACGGGGAGAGCCGTACGGAGAGAGCAGCGTGCCGTACGATCGGAACCAGCGATAAAGAGCCCGAGGAGCGTGCAGAGACGACAACAACACAAGCGGCGGAGAGAGGGTGAGAGCACGGGGTAAGAAGCAGTTCCCACGCTGCGATAGCGGAGTAGCGGCCCAAGGGGTGAATGTAGCCTACCTCCCTCCCTCCCTTTGTAGCTCTGCACCACCACCACCACCACCGTCATCATTGTAATGTGCAGTATATATAGGTACGTACACGAAACAGTACATATTGGGGCAATGAAAGAAAGAAAGAAAGAAAGAAGTAGGGGGGTCGTGTGCCGGCCGGCGGTCCTCGTGTGTTGCCGCCGCCGTCGCGACTTTGGCCGTTCACGCGCGCACACACGACCGGCATACGTCGCCCGACACGCGACCAGAACGCACACGCGCTCTCTCCTCCGCGGGCGAGAGCTTGCGGCTCGCGAGATAGCGGCCGCCGACACGTGGACGCGCAGTTATCAGCCCCGTACACTCTCTCGATAAACCCTCGCGCCACGCGGTGTGCAATTACAAGTATACGTTAGAGTGCGTGTCTCTCCTCCTCCTCTCTCTCTCTCTCTATAGTTTACGGATTGCGCTTCCCGAGGACATAACATTATGACAAGTGGACACGTGCGACCCGAGCCTTGGCCTCCGATGTGGCGGGTCGTCGAGCGCGTGGTGCAACTCGGCCCACCCGAGGATGCCGTCACCGGGACTTTGCTCTCATCCTCCTCCTCCTCCTCGTCGTCTTCCTCCGCCGCGGCTGGTGCCATCGCCACGAGTGTCAGTGTCGCAAGCTCCGGACCCCCCCAATTGCACCACCAGCAGCAGCAACAACACCACCACCACCACCACCCCCAACAACAACAACAACAACAACAGCAACAGCAACAACAGTTGGGTCCACCGTTGCATAATCACCATCACCACTGGGCGGCTCATCAGCATTACCTGCCGCCACCGCCGCCGCCGCCGTTGCACCCGCTCGCGTTGCCCCCGGCCGTGGTGTCTTCGTCGTCCTCCTCGCCGGTCGCGTCCTCCTCGTCGTCGTCGACGTCGTCCTCGGCAGGGGCGGCCGGTGCGCCCTCGAGTCACGGCTACCCGCACGAGCAACAGGAGCACCAGCAGCAACAATCAAATGTCGTTACCCAGGATACTAGTCCCAGTCAGCAGCATCATCACCAGCGTTCGAGTGTCAAGAGGCCCATGAGCGACTCGGACTGCGACGACGTGTTTTCCGAGGAGAGCGGCAAGGAGCCGTGAGTACCTTTACTATTATACACTTGCTTTACCCCGCGCGATCTAAGAGCTTGCAAGCGCGACCGCATTTTTTTTTTTTTTTTTGTGATTCAATTTTCAATGATAGAGGTGTCGCGTTGATTTTTGTTTTGGCTAATACAATTTGCCGTGCGATTCGTTGTACCGATGACAACATGTACGAAATGTGCCTAAAAAAATGTATAAGAATAAATCAAGTACTATATTTAGGTGTGGTTAAAGTTTAAGCATGAAAACATAAAAACACCCTCCGTAAAAAGGATTGGAGCTTTTATACATGCACTTTGGAGAATCGGTCATTTAACTCATCAGTGGATATACCTACTGTTGTACTTTGTAAATTAGTATAGTGAAAGTTTTTCGTGTACTTGTTGAAGTGTATTTCCGAAAGGGATTCTTTTGTCAATAATTTGCCTGTACTAACGGTATAATAAACTGGTCAAATTATTTTCGTACAATTTTCTATAAAACTTCTGTTTTTTGGGAATCGGTAACTTTTGAATTGTTTGCCGTGATCAAAATCGTAAGCAGCGAAATGAAAAAAAAAAAAAAAAAAAAAAAAAAAAAAAAAAAAAAAAAGCTCGAAAGCTCATACCTGTCAATCCCGCGTGTGTCCGTATAGGTGCAACTCCCCGGGCGGGGATTCGTGGCCAGCACACGTCGCGCAAGAGGCGCAGAGGCATGATCGAGAAAAAACGCCGGGATCGGATCAACGCGTCGCTCGGCGAGCTGCGACGGCTCGTGCCCGCGGCGGCGCGCGATCCCCACAGCGGAAAGCTCGAAAAAGCCGAGATCCTACAACTCACCGTCGAACACCTCAGGACGCTGAAAAACAAAGGTAAATTCCAATTATTATTATTATTTTTTTTTTTTTTTCATCTTTTCTCCGTTCTTTTCTTACGTTTTATGCTTTTTCAACAACATTCATTATAAGTACAGCGGTTTTTAAGCGCAAAAACTGTACAGGGGAGAAAACGATACTTGATTTCGTAGTTTTTTTTTTTTTTTTTTTTTCTGAAAATATCGGCATCGTACAATTGTTGTTAATTACGCTCTTGTTAAATTAATTCTATTGGACGGGAGGGAAAAAATAGCAATAAAAACAAGGGAAAGCGATCTCGCGTAAAAATCAGTGACAAACTGGATCGCCTTGCCTTGTTTACCAACAGGGGACAAAGGGTTGGGGCAGAGAGGGAGGGAGAGAGAAAAAAAAATCGGTGTGAATCGTAGGGCGCGATGAACACCTGTTGGCCGGCTATATACATTTGGGTATCATATACGCGCATCTGTAAGTACGTATATATATGTAGGTACCAAGCGTGAGAGAGTAAAATTTTTGACGCGTCACGTCGGAGCTAATCGAGCCCGCTTCCTTCTTTTTCCACGTGTTCTCCCACCGTATAGTATTACATGTACTTATACACGTATAATGTATGCTAATCGAGTAATGTCCCGTCGTATCGGTCGGTTATTATGAAAAAAACAAAAAACAAAAAAAAAAAAAAAAAAGATCGGTAATCGTTTCATGGATCAATCGCGTGATAATTGCGACAGAGATGATATCGGTTTGCAAGATAGCCGTCCGAGGGATAAAAAAGAGGGACAGATCATTCATACGTACCTACCATATACGTATATATACTTTTCAAGGCGCGCAAAATCAAGCACGTGCGTGTATGCTAAAAGAGGGTACACCGGTATACGTATGTATTACGAATGAAGAAAAAAAAAAAAAAATGTCTCTCGTGCGTATAACATGTGTACAAAAGTGTAAGTGAACTCTGCGTGTATAATATACAAATACGAGTATGAAAACAGGCGGGTTGGTGGATGGTCACCAATACCTGTGCGCCGATAATATAGACACTCAAGCGGAGGGAAAAAAGAGAAGAAAAAAAAAAGAAAAAAAGGACCAAGAGAAGCAGGAGGAGGAGAAGAAAAAGAACGAGGTAAAAAGGCGTAGGTAGGAAGAGGAGCAGGTGAGCGCGCGCGACGAGGGATATACACGCACGTGTGAGCAGCAGCGGGTCTCCGTGCGTATGAAAGTGCCGATATATGTATATACATAATCTGTGGGAACCACCGCATCAGGAAGTCAATAAAAACTCTTCCTTCGCTCCGCTTGGGCCGTCCGTCCTCGTCCGCATGACGTGCACGTATACCTATATATGCCCGCGCTTATATATATACAGCCGTGGCGTTCCCACGATTTCAGCCCTCGCGCTCGGGGTTTTGAACACCGGCTGCGCGCTCGCTCTTTTTGACCAATTGCACGACAGGGGAGAGTCTCTCCTCCTTCCAGGGTATAAATACGCGTCGCAAGTGTCGCTGATGCTGCCGATGATCTTATACATTTTTTACAGTAGTAAAATGCAGTCCAGGGCTATGTGTATATATGTATATGTGGGGTGGGGGGGGGGGGTATGGAGGGATGACGCGACCACGACGGCCAGCACGTATGCCTACCTATACCTATACATCGCCGTCGTCGGACAGATGTGCCCCACTGTGGGAAAGCTCTCTCTCTCTTTCTCGGCACCCCTGCATGCATATACAACTATATATATATACACGCCTGCCTCCCTCCTTCCCTGCCCTTATTAAGTATAACCGTGCGTGTATACACACATTATATACCCACGTGGTATTTATTCTTTCTTCTTCTTTTTTTCTTTTTTTTTTTCTTTTCCTCCCCATTTACTGCCCGACCGACCACCATTCACCGTACACCCATACACCGATCGTCCTACTCGACTTACTACTTACGCTCTTCACCAATCATTATGTTTTGCTCTCGTCACCGTATACACACATATATGTAGGGTGTGTGTGTATACCGATCGCCTTATTAGCGATTAGCGGTGCACGTGGGGGCGGCGTGTTGTAATTCAAGTACACCTATATTATGTACTTAACTATTTATTCGTACAAGCTGAATGTGTGATGATTGCGGTAACTCTGCAAATTATGTCACTGCGCCACGCAATTTTCATTAAAGTAAAGCGATCGGTATGATATCTGTACGTAATTAATTAAGGAAATCATGCTTAAAAAGTCAATGTGTCACTTTTACCGATTTTTCTTAAGATTCGTTACCATAAGAAATTTCCACACCCTGCAATTTTATACGTACACCTACTTTGGATGAATTAACTCGGGTATCATTAAAGTATTTTCTTACTGAAAAAAGCTTTTCCACATGATAGATCCGATCTCCTCCACCGCCGGATCGGGTGGGACACCGAAGCCCACCAATTTATAATTGTACTTGGTTTATGCGTGCGTAGAGGATACACACCATTATAATGGAGGAGACCCAAGAAAAACGTACGTGTGTATATATTCATATACTTGTGTGAGCCGCAGAGAAACTGGACACACAAAGTGGAAAATTGTAGATGGTGTGGTGCCGTACAAAAGCCACGATGGGCGCAGCAAGCTATATAGGGGAGGGACGAAGGGGCGGCAAAAGGCCCATTAATGAACGAGGCGGGAGGGGTACGACTGGGGGGGGGCGTTCGGCTCCGGGATACATAATATTCGGAGCAACGTTCCCACGCTACCTGCCTGATGTGTGTGTGTGTGTGTGTGTGCACGGCATCGACAGACTCGGCCTCGAGCGCGCACCTGCCGTCTTCTCAATACCCACCTCATGTATATATGGGTATACGGTCTCGTCTTCTTAAATTCCTCCCAAAGCTCCTCGCGTGCTCCTTATGCTGCCGCTGTGATTACCAAGAGGGGGAAAAGGAGCGCGGGTAAATCTATACGCACGTGCACGGACATTATATATATATTATAGGGTATATGTATATGTTCAGGGCGCGCTTGGGACAACGTGTACTTGACACATGTATATTAAATAATATAAATATACGTGAGATGAAAAAGAAAGAAAAAAAAAAAAAGAAAGAAAAAAAAAAAAAGAAAAAATTAAGATGAAGAAAGTAAAATATTCTTACGTGTGGTTTTTTTGCCGTTGTTTCAGGAGTCGAGGGTTACGACAGCAGCAAACTGGCCATGGATTACCACGCGGTCGGTTGGGGCGAGTGCGCGGCCGAGGTTGGCCGCTACCTGGTCACGATGGAGGGCTTCGACGAGCGTAACCCGCTGCGCTTGCGGCTGCTCTCGCACCTGCAGAGCTTTCAGCGCGCGGCTGAGCAACAACAGCCCCCGCCACCCCCAACGCAGTCCCAGCAGCACCCCCACGCGCCCCATCATATCCACGGCCAGCACCACCAGAGCCCGTACCCACCGGGAACGGAGATCGGCCCGGCCGGTCCTTTGGCCGCGCCCTGGCCCCCTGCCCAGTACTCGGCCCAGTATCCGGCTCAGTACGGGCAACAACAGCACGGCAAACCCTACAGGCCCTGGGGCGCCGAGCTCGCCTACTGACTCGCGTTTTTTCTCGTCAACCCCTCGTTCGTTCGTTCGGTTTTTTTTTTTCCTTGTACATTCGACTTTTTTTTTGTTTTTTTTTTTTGCTGCAGACTAGTCGACTCGACACGACATACCTATTTATTATTACTATATATATTTATATATATATATATACACATACACGCGCTGGACCGAGCGCGTGTATACATGCCAAATATCGCATCGTGCGCTGTGCCCTCCCAAGTCCTCTCGATCCAGATGACGGTGGATTCTTCTTTACTTTACCTTTTTTTTCCCTTCCTTCGGCTCTACTCTGGTTGTGATAGCGCAACATAGTCAACATTCGTGTACCTTACATAAGATTTTAGTCATATTGTACCGATGATCAAGAACATTATTTGTAGTGTTTTTTTTTTTTTTTTTTTTTTTTTTTTTTTTTTTTTTTTTTTTTTTAAGTTTTT